AAAAAAAAATAAATAAATAAACTAATGAGAAACCATGCATTAATTACACAGAGACAGACTGCATTCAGTCCATTTTTAAAGAAGTTTACAGGGTTGGGGTTGTGGCCCAGTGATAGAGCACTCACCTAGCACATGTGAGGCACTGGGTTTGATCCTCAACACCACATATCTAACATCAGTCTTTTTTAATCCTGGAATTACTCTGTAACGATTTCCTTCTTTTCCTTTACAGCTATCCCAGAAAATACTTGACAAATTAGAGGACTACCAGCAAAAAGTTGATAAGGCAACACGTGATTTATTATACCGCCGGAACTTGTGATGAGGATTGTTACTAGCCTTTGAAACCACTTGGTGCCTCTTAGGGCTTAAGACTACTCTACCAGGAACCCTGTACTCAAGGCTGATTTTTGTAAATGATGTGTACAACACTCAAGTCTGCATCCTGCACAGAACAGGAGAGCAGAAGAGTCAGAGGACCTGTGCTTGCTGGTGGTGCTAACACAATTTCTGCTTTTCAACCTTGGTCTCTCAAACAGCTACTTTTGTATATGATTCACAGCTTTTTTAGAGTTTATATATTTTTTTATAAACTATTGAAGACATTCTTTATCTGCAAATTAAGACCTACTCTCACGTTCCAAAATAGCTGATGGTTGTTGGTTTGTTATAGCTGACCACCAAAAGCAGTCATTGCAAATATTTTAATTCTTCCCTATCACTTTTTGTATTTCAATGGAATTATTTTGGTCCAGAACTGACATGTATTTTCTGTATTGCAAATGGAGGCTAATGACTTTATGTACTCTTTTCATTATTTATTGTGGAGTTTTTGTATGATCTTCAATAAAGTATTAAATAATTTGCCTAGTTAAGCGTAAAATTACSACCAGATGTTTAAAGAAGGTATCATACTTTGAGTTAGGTGTGGTGGTGCATGCCTATAAATCCAGCACCTGGGGAGGCTCAGGGGCAGGAGGATTGCAATTTGGGAGTCCAGCAAGACCCTACATCAAAATAAGAAATAAAAAGGACTAGAATGGGGCTTGGGATTTAGTTCAGTGGCAGAGCGTTTGCCTAGCACTCGCAAGGCCTGAGTTTGGTCCTCAGCCCTGGATAAAAAGCAGGGACGGGACTAGAATGTAGATCAGTGGTGGAGTACTCCTGAGTTAAAGCACTAGATTGCAATAAAGAAAAAAAATGTGGGGGGGCTGGGGTTGTGGCTCAAGTGGTAGAGCACTCGCCTAGCACGTGTAAGGCATTGGGTTCAATCCTCAGCACCACATAAAAATAATATAAAAAAGTAAAGAYATTGTGTACATCTTTAAAAAATAAAATAAAGATATTGATTGTGTCCACCTAAAACTAAAAAAATAAATATTAAAAAAAAAAAAAGGAGAGCGTAGCTGGGGATGTAGCTCAGTGGTAGAATATCCCTTGTTCTGTCCCCAGTACTGCAAAAAAAGAAAATATTATATTTTGAATCAGGTTCTGAAGCTAAAGTTGGGTAGACTTTTAGCTAAGAAAACAAATGGAAGTCCACCATGTGGATTTTTCAAGTAAATTCTAATAATGTATAGGGCCAGAATGTACTGGATTGAGAAGCTTTCATGCCTATAAAATTTTAAGACAGGGTCTAAATTGCCCAGGCTGGCCTTGAACTTGTGATCCTCCTGCCTCA